AATTTAACTAACGACAAATCGTTTAAATTAACTAGAATTATAATAACAATAAATGTTGATAAGTTTTTGAAAAATTTTATGCTTTTTCGTTTATTTTTAGTCTTATATTATTCAAATAAACCCCATGTAATACTAAAAAAAATTGATTTTATCAATAACTAGCGAAAGTGCATGTGTATATCATTTTAGAATGTTAAGCTGCATTTAGAAATTTGTAATAATTTATTAAATGGTTGAAAATTTGACAGAAAAAAATTATTTCAATGATAGATTTTAATGTTTTTACAATTTTCAAAATACATGCGACATTTTGATACAAATTATTGCTCAAAATAAGCATATTTATATACATGTTTGAATAGATTCTAGAAAGAAATAAATGGAAGAAAAACTTTTTTTGTCAGATTTAGCATTATTTAAGAAACATTCCTAGTAAAAATTCAATATCTTAAGAGGCAGTAAGAGACAAGCTACGGCACATGGGTTCGATGAGGCCTCCCTAAATATTTTATTCGCCCACTTCGGATTTTAGGCAATAATATTTAAATTTTCAATTTTAGTTATAGAACATTTCATTTTAAGACGTATTTCATTTTTCCCCCTTATGTGAAAATTTCTAAAGAAAAATTCAGTGTGCGTGATGTTTTATTTCATCGCATATAAAAAGGAGACATAATTTTATGACTATAGTTCTCTTTAGCACTAACTTTAATTAGTTTGAATACATTTCTAAAAAAATATTTTTAGGTTAAATGTATTCCACTGTATTAATACAAAGCAAGAAATAAAACGGTTGGATTGAATCTATGATAACCATTTATACAAAATCCGTGGATAACGAAAAAATAATGCTTCTCTTCACTATAAGATTCACTAAATACATAAAAAAATCGGATCCCTATTCAACGAATTTCGCGAAATAACGAATTTTTCTCTTTCCGCGATTGAAATGAATGCAGAAACTCTCATTTAACGAATAAAAACCCCAAATTAAAGCATTATTTCAACGGCCGAATTTTTTTATTAATTAAAATTAGATTTTTTCAAATGCCATATCCTTTTTTAAAATAAACAGAAAGACATTTCATATAAGCAACACATTTCTGCTGGAAGGGGTGCAGACCATTACTAAACTTTACAGAAGTCGATTATTCATGAGTGTAAACTATCGTGTGAGTTTTGAAAAGGACAGGAATTTCCTTTCTTATCTCATCCCACTCCGCAAAGCATAGTACATTTTAACAATAATGCTACATTTGATGACGAACCCTCTATCTGTGCAACTGAAGTTGAGGAAATTGTTGATTTGTCGGAGTCAGTGGGTAGCAATTCTGATGCACGAATTAGATAATAAAACTCCTATTAAAACTGTTACATTTTCTAATGCTTTACATTTCTTGGAAACTGAGAAAACATACCTCATGCGGCAGGATGTAAATGACGCGGAATTTTCTTCTCTGCAAAAAAATCGAAAAGAATCTCTTTCTAATCAGGAATCAAAAAGATTGTCAACCGTCTGTTAGTCAATATTTTAAAATTTCCAATTAACTGGTGATAAATAATTCGATAATAGTATTTGTATTAGTATTAGAATAATAATGTTAGAAGTGTAATTTATACCAATGGATAATTTTTGTTTAAGTACTTACTATAGAATTTCCAAAAACTAAATGCAAAAATTTTGGTCCGGCTGTATATATATATATATATATATATATATCATGTTTTGGAGAAAATCTTGGATTGACACGAGAAATGCAACGGGAAGCCGTTTGTCCTATGATATTTTATTTCAATATTCAGTAAAGAAGTCTGCACTCCAAGCCATGACAAAAACGAGAGCTCTTTCAGCGTTGATCAGCAGCGAGTGAGTCCTTAGAACACTTGTCTTCTTTTAGTCCGGCGAAAGTACAAGTTAAAGCTCTTATGCGGAAGGTGGGTTGAGTTGTCCTGGTAGGAAGTTTACCCCAACTGACACTTGAAGGGCCGGGGATTCATCTTATATATATATATATATATATATATATATATATATATATAAAGTTGGGGAAAAGGAAATCCGTTATTTTTTCGGTAGATGGCTGTAGTGTCGATATCTCATAAAGTATCGATCAAACAATTTCAAATTTATGCTCATTGTCAAGGTGACATTTTACACTAAAAAATTCTGTTATAGTTTTTTGTTTGGTCCATTCAGTTGTGAGTTACAGGATATTAAAATGGAAGTCCACAAAGAGAAAATTCGGTACATTTTACAGTTGTTTTTTGATAAAGGTAAAAATGCAAGCCAGTGACTAAAATTATTAATGGTGTTTATGGTGTCGATACTGTAACAGCGAGTTAGGTACAATTTTGGTTTCGTCGAATCCGTTCAGGCATTTTTGATGTTAAGGATGCACCTCGCACAGGCATGCCCGTCGTCTAAAATAGAAATAATCCAAGTTGATCGACATGTTAGTAGTCGTAGCATCGCCCAGGAGCTAAAGATCGACCATAAAACAGTTTTAAACCATTTACGCAAAGTTGGATTCAAAAAGAAGCTCGATGATTGGGTGCCACACTAATTAACACCAAAAAACATGATGAATCAATTTTCCATCTGCAAACCTTGGCCAAACGAAATGAAATCGACCCATTTCTTAAGCGGATGGTGACTGGGGATAAGAAATAGGTCACATACTGCAATATTGTGTGAAAACGATCGTGGTCAAAGTGTGGTGAAGCAGATCAAACGGTGGCCAAACTAGGATTAACAACCAGGAAGGTTCTACTGCCTATTTGGGGGGACTAGAAAGGAATAAATTATTATGAGTTGCTTTCATATAATCAAACACTAAATTCAGATCTCTACTGTCAACAACTGGACCGTTTGAAGCTAGCGATTGACCAGGAACGGCCAGAATTGGCCAACAGAATAGGTGTAGTGTTCCATCAGGACAACGCCAGGCCACACACGCCTATAGTGACTCGCTAGAAAATCTGAGAGCTTGGTTGAGAAGTTTTAATGCATCCACATATAGTCCGGACCTGGCACCAAACGATTACCACCTTTTTCTTGCATTGCAAAACTTCCTGAGTGATAAGAAATTGGGATCAAGAAAAGATTGTGAAAATTAATTACTAGAGTTCTTCACCAATAAGGATTAATACTTCTATGAGAGAGGCATTATGAAGCTACCTTTAAAATGGCAACAAATGATATAACAAAACGGTGCATATTTGACCCAAATCGGACAATCCAAAGCATGTTAAATAAAGTCTTGAATTTCATGCAAAAATAGTGATTTCCCCCCTCCCAACCTAATACATATAGTCGAATCTCTATTTAACGAAGTGATTAAATCCCGAAAAAAGTTCGTTAAGGGGAAAATTTGTTAAATATAGATTCATCTTTCAATATACTTTACAGGCCACATAAGACAATTTTTAAATTCATAAATATCATACATTATTAAAAAGTAGTAGTTTTTTTTTAATTAATATCTATCTATTTCCTAGATCTTATCATTAAAAAGAAATTTTTAAGGGGAAAAAATAATAAAACATTATCTAGGAATACACTGTATTTTTAACTTTAAAAAAATAATTTTTTTATTAAAGTTTAAAAATTTTAATGATATTTTCGAATTTTAAGCCTACGAGTAATTTTAAACATATATATTACTTTATAACCAGTAACTTTCAGCATACATTATCATATGCACCCTTAAATTTAATCACTGATAAATCTGTTAATTTTAATTGAGCTCTTTTTGTTTGAAAAATTACATCAATTTTATTGCTTCAGGTGGGTTGGGTACTTGGTAAAAAAGTTCAAGATTACTGATCACCATAAAGTGTGCTAAAAAAAGAATAATTTGAAATATCCAGAAAAATTTTAAAAAAACAAAAGAAAAATCGAATCACAAGTTCGTTAAAAAGTTCGTTAAATAGGAATTACATTTAGCTATTTCGAGATTATTTTACGAATGAAAAAGAAAAAGGCTTTTGGTTCCAGGAAAAATTTCGTAAAATAGAGAAATTCCTAAAACAGAGGTTCGTATAATGGAGCTTCGACTGTATATGCAGTGAAAATCGTTGAACTCGAAATTGAAGGTACCAAAATATTTTTACGTGTTGAAGAATATTGGAAAAAAACATGTATTCAAAAAAATTAAGCTTATCAGAGTACATTTTATTTACATAGATATGTATATACACATGTATTTAGTAAAAATAAATAAAACAAAAATTTAATACAAAATTTTCAAGTTTTAGGAAAAACAGAACATTTTTTGGGTTTTTAGAAAATAATCTTTTATTTATCTTTATATTGTCTTTTTAAGCGTCAAATAATCAATAAATTGTTCGATGTCGTCCATTTTGTTATTCATTTCACAATTGGAATGTACATATAAATAACTGCGCATACTTTTCATGATATTCCTCGTTTCAGATGACAGGGGAACAGGAGCTGTATTATTCTTTTCACTTTCGTTGTCCTACTCTGCATCAATTATATTTTTTGAACTTTGAATAAACGCCAAAATGTTTTTGTCTGCCATAATTGGAGCTGGACACATATTATCATCAACTACTGCAACGAATTCTTTCGATGAGAAGCTTGCGTGGATGGTGTTTTCCGAGTTTTGTTCATTCGCAGAAGGGAAATATTTTCGTGTTAAGCAAATTTTCGCTTCGTGTTAAGAATAAAACAAGTAACATAAAAAAAAGCAAGTCAATGCCTACTTATTTCAACAGAGAAAAATTTCATTTGATTGCTTTAAATTTACTTTTTATTAAATAGTTACAATTAATATAAATATGTAGATACAAATGACAGAATCACAATATTAAGTGGCAAAATAGAAAGTGATTTTCCTTGCAATTTTGCATTTTCCTTTCTATATAGGCTGTTGGACTATTTTTGTTCGTATGTTCCTATTTATTCATTCATTAAATTTAATTATTCAAATAAAATAGTGAATTAGAAAAGAAATCCCATTCTCAAAAAATTTGGAACTTCCAGGTGGGATTCAAACCCTTGACCTTTGGAATAGTAATCCAACAAGCTATCCATTGCGCTGTGGGGACACAAGGAACAACTTTCCTTTCTATATATATGCTGTTGAACTATTATTTTTTTACTATTTATTCATTTTTTAATTTAATTTGAAAATTTGAACAAGATATATATATATATATATATATATATATATATATATATATATATATATAACTAAACTCCTCTAAAAAACTAAGTGACTAAACTCCTCCTAAACTGCTGGACCGATTTTGATGAAATTTTTTGTGTGGATTCAAGTGGATTCGAGAATGATTTAGATTTCAATTCGGCCCGATACCGCAATTATTTAAATATGCGCCAAAATTATGTAAGGGCACGCGATTGTTCATACAAAAATCATGGGCAATATTCTTGAGGCCACTATTTTCAGCGGTAAGCTTCAAGGTGAAGTTGTACTTCTACCACAGATCCCAATGATTCTTTCAGACTCACCTACCCATTCAAATGTTTGCAATTTCCAATTCGCTTAGTATTTGCTATGACCATTAATAAGTCCCAAGGTAAATAAATGATAATTTGGGGCTTAGATTTAGAAAACCCTTGCTTTTCGCATGGCCAATTAAATGTTGCATGTCCAAGGTTCGGCAAACTATCGCATTTGTTTGTTTATACCCCTCAAGGATTAACTAAAAACATTGTACATTCAATGGCATTACGATAAATTTATTTTTTGTGCATTAAAAAAATATACCTGTTATGAAAATAGCTCGAGTTTTGTCTTTTTTACCCTTTAATCAAAACAAGTTTAAGTTTCTATTCAGAATAGCTTCTATATTCAACTTAGTTCATAGTAAATACATTCTCACACGCAATCGATAGGTGGAATTGTGGTAACTGTACATGTGATGGATTCAGGTATTGTAATAACTTTCTTTATAAAAAAAATTTCATCAAAGCGGTCCCGATTTTTACAACTGATTCAAAAAAGTTTGTTATTTTCGGATTTAAGACGTGTGCACAGGACAACGTCTGTCGAGACCGCTAGTATATATATATAAGGAGAGAGTGGACTAAAATGGTAGGAATTGAAAAATGCATGAAAATACACAGTAATGTGTCGGGACCGATGCATTATTTCATGTTAACCGATATACCTTTTTTAAAATTTTGTGTTAAAAGTATTTCTATATGAGCATATTTCTATTTTAAGCATAAAATAAGTTTAAGCAAGCAATAAAGAAAGCAAAATAAGTAACAAGCAATTTTCGAATTTAATCCATGTTAAATTAATTACTTAACTTTTACTCAAATAATTAATGACTACGCATGTTGAATTATCTCATCTCACCAAACTTACGACATTCTCACGCTACCCTACACAATGCAAGTTGTCTACACATCACAAACACACCAAGAAACTTTCTCAACTGCAACCGCTCGAATTAGCCTCTCTCTCTCCCACCCTCCACTCTCTAAATGGCCTTTCTCGACTCCAAAGGAAGATCACTCATCACAAAACTTCCCTGGCATGCAAGATCTCTCATTTCACCAAGCACTCCCCTCTTTCACAAAGATCTGGATTTAATTCATTTATGGGCCTTCTCCCGCATCACGGACTAAAAGCGAGTGTCACTCCAGTTCGGGACATCCCTCACCCATAGTCAAACACGACCCCCTCCTTCCCTTTCTCTCTCTTCGTCGTAAAACATGATCTATTTAGTCAGAAGCTCAGTTTCTGTCGGTTGATTATCGTTTGCACATTTGCCTCCACTCCCTGTTTGGGGGGTGAACGCTCCGTTAAATTCTGTCGACAGAATCACAGTTAGTCTAATCTGTAGAATAACTGATTCCAAGAAAGTGAATTCTGTAATTTAATTTTGGAAATGGAGTGAGTCCTCTTTAAACCTTGTTGAATTCTGGATTCATTATCTGTTTTGAAAACGTCTAGTTGCATAGAGTTCACACTTGATTGAATTTAGTGATTAATTCGAATAAACTTTTCGATATCTGTGTTGTTGTTTTTAATTTTATACAGTGTGCCACAAAAGTGTTTGTACACTTGCAGTGTGTTTCCAATAAAATTTAATGTTTCCGACTAATAAAACTTAATATATTGTAATTGTATAATTTTTATGATATATTCAACTTGTTCTTAATGGAATGACATAACTATTTTTTTAAAAATAGTATAACTATTTTTTTAAAAATTAATAATCAAAAAGCTACCAAAAAATTACGCCACAAAAGTCTTCGTACACTTAGTAAAAAGCTCACCTTAACTTTAAATATTGTATTTCTTTCTTAATTTAGTACTTTGTAGGATATCTCTTAGTGTCCACAACAACTTTTAAGCATCTTGGTATATATTTATTCAGTTTTTTGTAATCTCTGCATCGATTTTCATCCATTCTTCTGTGATTATTGTTTTTACTTCACGTTTTGTGTTTATTTGTCATGTTTCCTCTTTTTTTACATCAAAATCTCCCCTAATATGTTCTACTGGGCTAAATAAAGTGATTGAGGAGGTTTTTCCATAATTTGGGGACAATTATAGAGACACCAGTGGCGTACATTGAGAGCAGTGCGCTTGGCGTCATTATCCTGTTAAAAAAGGAAGTCGCTTCCAATATTCAAATTTTGGGCGGATATAGTTTAAAAAATTTCTTTTTAAAATATTTAAATAGAGCTCATGCTTTACAATATCAACAAAAAATACCAAATTACCTAATTCTATGTCCGATTTACACCCCCACGCAAGAACACTTCCACCTCCATATTTTATTGATCCAACTAGATTCTTGGGGTTAAGCTTCAGAAAATTCGAAATTGGCAGCAAATTGATTGGGATGGCATATAATTCGACATTTTTGGTTCCGATGGGCCTATAATATCTAGTAAATGAAGAAATAAGGAGTTTAATCCCATGAATTTATGTGGAACAAGAACTCCTCCACCTCCCTGCTTCAGCATGGAAGTGAAGGTGTTCTGGCCTGGGGGTGCAAAATTAGCCTCAGGATTAAGTAATTTGATTATTTTTTATGGACAATTTTATTGAAGATATCAAGTGTACATTTTTGCAAGAACACTTTTGTGGCCCACTGTATATAATTATGGAACTAAATATATATTCTAATATTATATAAATTTATGACTCAACTTTAATGATACAAATGTATGTAACTAAATAAATCACAAGAAAAATGGTTATCAAAACGCAATTAATAAAAAGTAGTGCGTGATTTATACATAATTATTGTTCATTAAATATTTTTTAGTTTTGATATGTAAAGCGGTCCACAAAAGTGTTCGGACACTTGAAATTTTCGATAATTTTTTATGTTCTCGACTAATAAAAATTAATATATCGGAATTGTAATTTGCTTATGATATTAGTAACGTGTTCTTATTGAAGTACATAATCAATTTTTAAAACATAGAAAGAATAAGTATTATTTTTAAAAATTAATAATAAAACTACTGAAAAATTGCGCCACAAAAATCTTTATACACTTTTAAAAATCTCAACATAGCTTTAAACATTGTATTTGTTTTTTAATATTTAGTACTTTATAAGTTATTTTTAAGTGTTCACAACTTTTTAAAGTGTTGGTATAGATTTCATCGGCTTTTTTGTAATTTCTGCATCCACGTTCCTCCATTCTTTTATGATTATTGTTTTTACTTCACATATTTTTCATATGTCATGTTTTCTTTTATTTTTTAATCAAACTTTTCCCAAATATGTTCTACTAGGCGTAAATTAAGTGATTTAAGAGGTGTTTTCAAAATTTGGAACAGTTACAGAGACACCAGCGGCGTTCTTTGAGAGCAGTGCACTTGGCGTCGTTAACTTGTTAAAACATGAAGTCATCTCCAATATCCAAATTTTGGAAGAATAAGTTTTGTTCTTTAAAATATTTAAATAGAGCTCAAAATTCACAATACCATCAAAAAATAATAAATTATTAATTGTTTATAGATTACCATTTGAGTCAAATGATTTTGATAAAAGGAATAATAATTGATAATTCATGATTCCTTTTTTCAAGATTGGTTCAAATCTTCTTTAGAAAGTGAGGATTTAAATTTTGCAGTGTTGTAGAAATGAATTTTATATCGTTAATGGAATACTCAAGATGCAAACATTTTATACAGAATCAGTGAATGCAAATGAATCATCGGATATATTAACTAAAAAGAATCTTCCGGAACAAGTATTATTTTTTGGTCAGCAAAAAGACATTAATATATTTCATTATTCCAATAGAATAATTCCAAGTTGTTCAATTCTAAATATTACAATTTCAAATATTTTCCCACCCCAGTTGATTAACAAAAAATCCAAGCAACTTATAGAACAAAGACTAGAATTACATAAAATCAGACGATAACGTTACATTAGCAATCGATTGAATAAAAATAAATCGGAAAAAGAATTATCGTTGCCCCAATCTCAAACGAAATAATTAATTACTTCTCCTTTAACTGTTCAATTTCCCCAATTGGATAGGGAAGATGTGCTTAATATTCCCTTTCGTAAAAATTACCAAAATTCTGTGGCGTAAGTTACCACAAGGATTATCGTTTTAGTTACCAATAAATTGATCGAGAGAGACTCTCATCTGTTAATATCTCATCCTTTTTTTTAATGTTACAATATACACGCCTGCTTTCACCAGTAATGAACTTAATTTCAAGCTCAGTGTTGCCAATCATGACTACTTATCGTATATTTTTAATTAATTTTCTTAAACATAGACATTCAGTTATATTGAAAAGTAGCAATCCTTTTCCCCCCTGTTTTCCTGTACGAAAAAAGAAAATCGAGTAACAAATACTTTTTTTTTTTGATCTTCGAAGTAACGAAATTTTATTGAAAGCTGCCTGAACTAGGTTAACCAAAACACATAAATTTTCGTTGTCTAACTAAAATCCTATGTAGCTAGTTTTGTCCATTAAGAACAAGAAGCGGATGACATATTTCAAGTGTTTTGACATTAAACGGATTTCCGAGTAAGATAAGAGTACGTTTTAGTTCGAGAGTACATTTATAAGAATGTC